AGAGAGAGAGAGAGAGAGAGAGAGAGAGAGAGAGAGAGAGAGAGAGTGAGAGTGAGAGAGGGGAAAACCAATGGAGAGAATCCAAAATCCACTAGAGCCATCTAGTACTACAGGAAAAAGGCTACAACTTAGGCAGACAAAGTATGGTTTATTCAAGCCCTGAAAATCAATGATAAGTCTCCAAATGCCATTAGGCATCCTCAGTGCCAGACTGGAGATCTGCAGGGGATGCGTTAGCCAGTATAAAACCTGATCCCTAAAAAATCTTCATAGGATCACAGATTTAGAGCTGGAAGGCACCTCAGAAGTCACCTTTTCCAACTTTCTCATTTTACAGATAAAGGAAGTTAAGTGAGGCCCAAAGGAGTTGTCTTTTGCCTTAGGTCACAGATAGTAAATGCCAATGTCAGTATCTTAATACTGACTTCTGATCAAGTATTCTTTTTATTATATTTTTAGTATAGCTTGACTTTTTACAGCCTAAATTGTCTTTCTCTCTAGTGAGGGAACAATAAGTAAGTAGCTTTACTAACTTAGCACTAACAGAAGTACAGCCAGTTAGTTATTCCTATGTACCTTTTTCTCTGTTGCCTCCACTCTTTTAGTCAATACCACTAGCTTCACTGGTATTATGTGATTGTTATTTAACTGCTTACAAAATAATGAATGCAAGGATCAGAAGTAATTAGTATTGACAATTTTATGCCAGTTTTACATTTAATTGAACTTTTCCAAATTATAGAACCCACCTCCAAAAGACAAAAATTACTGCCTGTTAAAGGTACATTTCATTTTCTCTCCCAAAAGTTTAACACAGTAAAATACTTACAGACAAACGAGTAAGTTCAGTGCATTTTCAATAACTCATTGGCTGATAACAATGAGACAAAAATGGCTTCTATCCATGAAAAAAGATAGTTCCACAAAAAAGATGGTTTAACATTTTCAAAATATTAACATTAAATAAAAAGAGGGTGAGGGGAATAAAACACTGTCTTTCCACCACACAGAAATTTTCCCAGACAACATTAATAATTGAGACAGGGCTTTGCAACATTCGATATGCTAACCACAGACTGGCATCCCAGTCACTACTTGACTACCACCTATCACCTCTACTCCACAGTGCTCACTGCTTCCTCTAAGGTTCACTCTTCCTCGACGCTTCTGTTAGGACAGCAAAACTTCCCCTTCTACACATGTCCCTCCCTGAGGACCACACCATCTTACTTCCATCTACCATCACTGCACTTAGATCTTTACCGCCTTTCCTTTTATTCACTCCAACCTCACATTTGTTGCCACAGTGAAGGGGCCCACTGTGATTACCCAGGGTGAGGAATATTCATACTGCTGAGCACCCCAGCCACCATTACCGGCCCAGCATTCTTAGTGTTGTCCTTAAACCTAGCACAAAGTTGACTATGCAGCAATGAGATTGGTTCCAGAAATCCCACATGAAATCAGTCTCATCCCATTATAGTCAAACTGAATAAAATATACAGAGGATGATCCCTGTTTTAGAATTTAAACATTCAATAAAAATAAGCTTCATATGCACTGTTATTGAATACTTTAAAATCCAATGAGTTTTGTTCATAAGCTGTATTTGTAACATTTGGTTTTGAAATCACATATAAAAAAATTTAAAGTCTTAAAGCAGTGCTGTAGTGATTAGATACAGCTGTTAAATAAGGGAAAGCACATCTCCTATGGAAGAACTCCAAATAGCAGAAACAACAATGGTGTGATAAGCCTTCAACTCCTCCTTGTATACGTCCCTCTACTGATTGGCTTCTGTGGCCCACAGCATCCATCCCTTGGCTTTTTACTCCTGCTGCAACAACTGCTGGGGTAAGGGAGGACTGTACCCCCTTTTAACCAAGGATAGAAGAAAGAGGCTTGTGGTGTTCACTCCAAATGAGCCTCTTACCTGTTTGATGGGTGCTCCAAACACCAATCTCAGATGAGTTCAAGAGTACAAGCTCACCCTAACCAGTGAAAGGAGGGAAGGAGCCCAAGTCCCCAAATGGCACTATATGCTTTTGTACTGTGACAGAGGGATGTTCCTTCTCCACTAATGACTGGAGCAGTAGCAGAAACATCACGAAGGGCAGGATAAATATATCACTCTCCAGGGCTGGAACGGAACAAGCCTTAGGGGAGGTTGCCATGTCACTGCTGCCTCATACCCCCCAGATGCAACATATCACTGCCTCCTCTCCCCTTGCTGAGGCATGGGAGGGATGAGGGTAGTCTCCCTCATCATCGCATGGAAAGTTCATAATGTAGACAATTCTTTTGTCCTTTAACCCTGTTGTTGTAAGCAGGACTCTACTATATGTTTAAATGAATAGGTCATAATAAAGTGTTACTTAAAGAAATGAGCAACTTAAAATAGTTATGAGAAAATACTGTTTGTTGTTGGAAAAGCATACTCTACAGCACATATACAACTAATTAAATTTGTCAGGTCTAAGAAAATCCTTTAATATTTTCGTCAGCTGTGATTAGGTGCTTTTGACCATATAAATGAAATAACTAATTAACTCCTACCTATGATTTCAATCTATGATTTAAAATGGTATTGCCTGAAGAATCTACGTTGAACCATTTGAAAAACGACATAATAGATTCAGGAAGTACTTCAGACTGTAAAATATTATCTCAGTTTTTAACATTAATCTACAATCTTAAAATTTTGGAAATATTAACTCAGTTTAGCATTAAGTTCCTCTTACTGGTAGAAGCTACATTTTTGACAATGACTCTCAGAGGCTGCCAGCTACCTATGTAACAGGTGAGGGGAAAAAAAGACCCAGACAATGAGAAAATGGCATGTCTTTGCTGCAATACCTATACAGGTTATCTGTGTCATTGCTACTCAGGTGTATTCAAAGAGTATCAAGAATGCATGCCATTTTACTCCTAAAGTTAAATTAGCATAAATGTCCTGAGTAGCAAATGATGCCAAGGTATTAGCCATAAATGAGGTGTATGTTTTTGTAATATACCCAATTAGGGATTTTATTTCTATATAATAATGTGTAAGTAGGTATTTAAAAAATATATAGTCTGCACAATGATTAATTTTCAGTTTAAAAAAAATAACTGTGTGAGAAAGGGACAGATTTTGTGGTCAATTCTCAGTCATACATGTATGGATTAAATGTAACAGAGTTAAGGTCAAGATGACTTCCTCTTGTCATTCAACATGCTTCTGGACTCCCATCACCAGTATCATTTGGTGTAGGTTCAAAGGGTGCAAACTAATTTTAATACCAGTCTAATCAAAACATAATTAGGAAGATTAGTTTACTAAAAGTCAGACAATGCATTTCAAAACCAAATATTAATTACACTTGGGATTATCCACTTATTTCTCTCTCCATTAGCGCAGATAACTGAGACTTCACCTTATCTACAAATCCACTAGTCCTGGAGTAAATGTGCTAACTAGAAAACTGCTTATTACAAAATAAATATTTTCAGTCTCTCTGCTCTAGATCATGTTAAACCATTAAGTTTTAAAACGCTAACACAGTTAGGTCACTTTTGGGAGGACACAAATACTATACAATCCTGAGCAAAGTGATAAAGGTACAGTCTCTTGGAGCTCTTTCTTGTCTAATAAGACCTTTAGGAAACACTCAAAAGCCAAATTATTCCCGTTTTCATTAGATGTACCGTGAGTTCATTTTACTTTGGTAAATAATTTTTTCTATGTAAACCTTCAAAGTAGAAAACAAGCGGAGTTTTGATCAGGATTCCTCCATCACCTTTTGACACTGATACAATAAATAATCTGGAAGGGAAGAGCAAGAGGATCTGAACCACAGAGCAACCATTCCTTCGTGAGCCCTTAAGTGCAGTAAGCAGGGGACTGAGGGGAGTAGATAACAGGCCAATATTCCTTCATTTCCTAAAACAAAACAAAAATTATACACCCTCAGTCTCAAACAGTTCAGCAGCATAAGAATCCAAAATATATGACATGAAACAAAGTTCAAGTCTCCCATTAAAGGTTCACTCAAGTTCAGGTAAGCACCTTTCTGTTCTCCCAAACAACAGTTACTTATTAAGCACCTCCTCCAGGCAGGACACTGGGCTAGGTGCTTAATATTTTATTCATCAATCATTAAAACTCTAAATTTTATTTTTGAGAAGAAAAAAATGGAAAATTTATTTTTAAATGGATAATGATCTAAGACAAATGTCCCTGTTTGGAATGGAAAATGATCCAAGATAAATGCCATGGTTATAAAACAGCACTGTATATGATACACATATGTAACACCAATGCTTTCAGTTATTTTACTGCTATGTAAGGAACCATGAATTCAATGATATTACACTGATTCCATTAATCAGATAGTAACTTTTCTAATACCTGGTAGATGATCTATGAGACTGGCTATGGTCAAAAAAAGGACAGCCTTTGGTCAATGTGGTAATGACCTCATTTTATATTTTGCCACAATAACAAAAAATTGTCATTGTAATGTTCACTTACACAATACACATTAATTTGCATCTATTTCTTTATTCTGTGGATAGAAAAATTAGAATTATATATAAAATCATGAAATGCATAAAAATAGATTATGTAAATAATACTAAATTTTTCCACCAATAAAAATAAGATGATTATAAGCAAAATAAAAACAACAAAGTGTTTACTATCAAAAGTAATAATGCTCCAGTTACTACTCTATAACTAAACATTTAAAGTTTAATGTAATAACATTCTTAATGTAGTAAAAGAAATTTTTTTACAAAGTCAGAAAGTAAAAAAAATAAAAAACACTTTACAATTTGTTTGTAGGTGTGCCTTGGGTCCACCTGACAGAGACGACCCAAGGTGCAAACTGAGATGTATATTTTCTCACATACACAATATGGAAATTAATTTTGCTTATCTATGAATTTGTTGTAAAAGTTTTGTTTTTCTTTTTTTCTCAGTGGAAAGGGAAGTGTAGAGAGGAGAGTTAGGGATAGAATTACCTCCTTTTCCCTCCCCCCCCCTCAAAATTATTGAAACACGCTATTTAAATGCACAGAAGAGAACAGAAGGAAAGCCAGAAGGAATCACAGACAAGCAGGACAGCTTTGAAAGTAACTTCTATTTATCATATACTTTAAAAGAAAAGCAAGCTATTCATTATAGAGATTTGCAGTTTCATGTAAAATGCTTTTTGTTCTACTGTGTATATGAAAGTGCTCATTTTAGTTCATGTTTGTTAAGCCCAGAATTTTAAAAATAGAAAAAACTAAATGTAAATGGGGCCATGGGTACATTTGAGTACCAATCATATAACAGCACATTTCAAGTACATAATAATTGCTAATAAATCAATATGCTTTTAAGAAACTTCAAAACTGATAAATTATGTACCTATTTCTTCTAAAATATTAACTGAAAAGCCATAAAAGTATGTCTCTGTTCACAAAAGCTACACCAGTTCTAAGCAATTCAGCTAGTTCCACAGCCCAAGAGTTCCAGCCAGCTGTTAGAAGTCCAGGATGAACAGTGGAAAGTTGTAGGCACTATGGTGATATTTAAATGTCTAATATAGAATTACAGGTGCTTTTTGCATGTGGCATGAGAGGACAAAGGGTAAAAGAAAAGGTATTATAAATATAAGGTTGTTTTTTAAAAAATTATTCTACAAACCTATAATATCAACGATGTGCAGTCTTAGTTTCTGCTGCAGGGTCTTCAGTGCAAAAGGCAAATTAGCTTGAGAATCTGACACTTTTACGTTTTGTTTCACATCATTTGCAAAGGATAACCAAAGTTTGCCAAAGTCTTCAGTACAAATCTTCATTGGTCTGAAATTAATTTTTATTAGTATATTTTGAAAAGAATTAAATTACTTAAAACACAAAAGCCTTTCAAATGTCAAAGATATAAATAAAAAAATATATATCTTAGCAATCAGCATAAAAGCAAAGCAACCTTGCTCCTCTTAATGATAAGACATAATTTCAACTTCTAATTAGATATTAAAAAAAAAAAACTTGCACCAGGAAATGTACTACTCAATTCCAAATTCACAGTTTACACTTCACGTTGATGACTCGTCAGTGAGTAATTTTACCTATTAATTTTATTATATCAATAATTATAAATAAATATTATATCAATGTGATTTCAGTCCAAGTATCCCCTTCGACAATGCATGTAGCAACCCAATTGTTGGCCCATCTCTCAGTGCTAAACCTCTTCATAATGAGTTAAGGTGGTGCCTTTGATGACAAACATATAATCCACTGCCAGGTCTTTACTGCAGGCATACCAAACTTGGAAGGACCTAACAGAGTTTGTACCCTACTGAACCCAGATTTATTCAGGTTTCTCAATGAGTCAAAGTGTGACTTTTTTTGGTACTATTCTATAATTAATATTATTAAACCTTCAAAATGTTTTCTTTCAGATGTATTTTCATTTTAATACTTAAATACAACCATAGATCAGGGATTAGCCAGGGGTGGGGAACCTGTAGCCTCAAGCCCACATGTGGCCTTCTAGGTCCTCAAATGCAAGCCTTTGGCTGACTCCAAACTTCACAGAACAAATCCTCTTAATAAAAGAATATGCTCTGTAAAACTTGAACTGAGTCAAAAGGCCTCACCCAAGGACCTAGAAGGTCACATGTGGCCTTGAGGCTGTAGGTTCCCCATCCCTGGATTAGGCCAAAAGCAAATAAGAATTTTTAATAAAGTATGACCCCTAGAATAAATACTATGCTTAGTCTGCTAATGTTTACTGCTCTGATGTGCACTCATAGACAAAGACTAGAAGTTCTTTGAAGCCAGGGACTACATCTTATAATTTTCTTTCCCCCATAGGCCTAACTCAGGTAGGCATTTAATAAGTATTACATATATGCTTACTATACCATTTTAAAGACAGGAGAAAAAAAGTAAGAATCAAGCAAAACTTTAAGTCTGAGGTATTTTAGGGGTTTTGTTGTTTTTTTTTTTAAATGGAATCTTTGGTATTTCCTTCTTCTCTGCCTTCAGATGTCCTTCATAAAAGAATGCTGACCTGAATGGTATCTATGAAAAAATAAAAAGAATACTGAATTTCCTAAAGATTATGTCTTCTCTCTTTCCTTTACAGCCTCCCACACTGCCCAGAAGAGTGCTCTGAACACAATGGATATTCAGTATTATTTTTTCTTATTGATGATAAAAAATTAAATATTCTATAAAAAGAGATTTTGCTATAAGAATTAGTTGGATCAAAGAACATTTAATGAGATAAATAAATTATACATAAAGAAAAAAGCTGCTTTAAAAGAAAAAAGAAACATGAGAAATTTTAGGTTTAACCAATCCAATTAAACTGCTATCCCAAATGGTGAGAAATCAATTACCTAATGAAATCCAATAGTGATAAGGTTACTGAAAAATCTAGCTGAATATATGGATCCTCTTCCACTTGATATTTAATATAACCAGAAAGACCCTCCTCTGTAAAAGGCTTTTCCATGTGCACATGATGCTGGATGCTTTTGGTGCTTTCTGCTTCTATTATAGGAAAACAGAAGCCAGGATGCTCAAGGATCTGTAAAGCAATACAACACTGTACTGAAAATCTCTGGGAAAAAGTTATCAGAAATAACATGGGATAGCTGCCGTTTTCTTTTTTTGAAAATTGGAAATTTCCCCCTCTATGAGCAAAAATAATCAAGAGAGAATGTTACTGGGGTTAAATTCTATAATAAAAATGTTAATGCAACCAAAATTTTTGTAAAAGATTATCAAATCTTAGCCAATGCTCCAAGCCATATTCAAAACAAACAAAAAAAACAAAACCAGTTCAACCCCTTGGTCAGTCCAATATAATCTGCTCTATAAAATAATTCAAATCCCATTACAACAAATTCCAAATTACTTTGTTGTAACAGAACAGACATCACTATCGATCGCAACTGCAGTCTGCTAGAACCAAAGAATAAACAAAAACAACACCCAGTCATTTAATGCAAGGCAATAAATAAACAAATTAAAAGAAGTACCCTGCATGCTACTAAGTACCCGGCATCATTCACATATTTATCTCTCAGAGAAGGGAGCAATTATTTAGTACGTGCCTACTATTGTGCCAGGAATTTTGTTAAGGGCTTTACAAATATTATCTCATTTGATCCTCACAACAACCTTGGGAAGTAGAAGCTATTATCATCTCCATTTTACAGTTGAGGAAACTGAGGCAGAGGTTACTAATTTGTCCAGAGTAACCTTAGCAAATGTCTGAGGCTAGATGTGAACTCCTATCTTCCTGACTCCAGGCTCAGTGCACTATGTCAACTAGCTGCTCCACCCATTTTTCTCCTCAAATTCCCAGATTTTGAATGCATATTTTGTTCTGTTTTGGTAGGTAAGTGTTTTTCTGGGTTTTTCACAGCAACGGTGAGGATATCTGAAAATAATTAAATCTGAAAAAAATCTGAAAGAGATGGCACCAATTTAAAATTCACTTTAAAATTAAAAAAAAAAACCCTCTTGATTAAGTCATTCATTTCTTTAACTGGGTCTCCTAACATTCTTACAATGTTCTCATTCTCACCTTCTTGAAAGTATGGAAATTATGACAGTTCTTTTCCTTTTTTATTTTTTGTAGAGGGGTAAGAATTGGTGGTTGGAATAAGTTTGTGAGCTAGTACTCTAACCCATAAGAAAAATACTAATAAGCTAAAAGTCTCTCTTTAAAGCTAGAAAAGATGAACCATCAATTTTCTTACCTTGAAATTTTCTGTAGGTGTAATTTCTAAATTCATACTCTTCAGTTCCAGACTGCTCTTGTTGGCAACCAACCAGACCAGCAATAAGCAATCATCTCTCCAAATTTTGCAAGAAGATACTTTTAATATTTCATTGTTACAGAGTTCCACTACATCTGAATGTACATGTTCATTTAGCTCTTCCAATAAGGAAGAAGTTAGAGAGATTTCATTAGCAAAGGAGGAAAGAGTAGGATGAGGAGGGTGAAAAATCTCCATGCTATTATCTTCAAACAAAGAAGGTGGAGACAGGTTGCAAGCTGAGAGATTCTCAACCAAATGTAGTTCAGCGAGTGACTCTGATTTTAAATCTGATTCCAAAACTTCTGAACCAAGAGAACATTTCTTTAATCCTGTGCCTCCTTTGTTCTGAATATTGTTCAGATGATCATTATTTTCATAAGGTACATTTGACAAAGGATTGAAAGAAGAGCAGTTAATGTTATGTGCAATGGTTACTTCTCTATTTTTGGTGCCATTAACTTTTGATTTCCTTCGGAACTTGTGAGAGACAGTATCTGTTTTTCCCAGCTGCAGAAAAAATAAAAAGGAAGAAACTATTCCACCGATCATGAGCTTTGATATATTCTAACAAAATAATAGCCTAAATCTAGGCAGGTTCAAATGAACAATTTCATTAGCCTGGAGAGGTTCTGTATTGCAAAGCAAAACTATGAAAATCACAATACAGAAAATTATTAAGCCCAGAAATTGATTCTTGCAACTGCACAGCTTTGAATAATTTACTAAATTTTATTTGTTATTTTCAACTATTCAAAATTAGAAGTGAGGTCAGAAAGTCAACGTTAACCTAAACTTGAAGATCTCTTGGATTCTGAAGCATTAGATTATAAAACTAGACACCCAAGTACTCTACTACAAACTGAAGGGATGGCTGAAATGAACCTTGTGAAGGATATCCTCTGAATTTTTATGTAAAATATGACACTGCTTACATTTTATAAAAGATATGACACTACTTATATTTACAGCCCCAGTTAAGGACATAGCAGAAACCAAGCTAGTGATGCAAATCAATAAGTTGTAGGACATGAAAAAAAATTCTCAGAATCTAAATGATGCCAAAATGAGAGTCCAAAGGAAAAATAGTTAAACGTGGAGAAGTTATTCTAATTATGATTAAAACATACATTCTATCTCTGGTGATTTTTTAAAATGTAACACAAGGTGTATTAGAAGTTGGCATAAAAATAGTGCCCAGATAGAATCCATGATAAATTGAAACTAGAACAAAATGCAACTAATGTAAATGAAGAACCTAACATTTAAAAGACTGTGTGAAACATATGTGTATACACACAGGCACACATACACATAATAAGGAAACATGGTAAAACTATTAAAAAAAAGAGTTGAACTTGAGAGTAAGAAGAGACAGAAGCCCGAAACTTGGCTGTAACATTTACTAGTTGTATGACCTGTGCAAGTCACTTAATCTCTGGAGCCATCAGTATTCTCAACTATAAACTGGAAATAATGCTTGTATTATCTATGTTACAGCATTACTGTTAGCACACTGAAAACCTTAAAATACTATATGTAAATATAAACTTATCCATATGCAGCATACATACACATGACAAATCTGGCCCATTCTCAGTGCACATCAATGAGGATTTCTCATCACATCCAGGACCTTCCTTCAAACATTCCTTCTCTCTTATTCAATTTCTTTTTTTTCAAATTCAATTTTATTTTATTTTCAGTTCTGAATTCTCTCCCTTCCATCTCCCTAACCCACTCAACAGAAAGTGAGAAAAACAAAACTGCTACAAATAAGTATAGTAAAGCAAAAAAATTCTGTCATAAATCATGTCCAGAAAAAAAAATGCTTCAATCTGCATTCTGGGTTCATCACCTCTATCTGGAAGTAGATAGTACGTTTCATCATGAGTCCTCTGAGATGGTCATTGTACTAACGAGAGTTCCCAGATCTTTCAAAGTTGTTTATCTTTACAATGTTGTTGTTACTGTATAGATTGTTCTCCTGGTTCACTTCACTATGTATCAGTTCAAACAAGTCTTCCCAGGTTTCTCTAAAATCATCCTCGTAATTTCTTACAGCATAATGATATTCTATCAAATTCACTTAACATAATTTGTTCAGTCACTCTCTAATTGATATCCCCTAAACCCCAGTTTCTAATTCTTTGCCACACAAAAGGAGCTACTATAAACATTTTTCTTAAATATATGAGTCCTTTTCTTATTTCTTTGATCTCTTTGGGACATAGGCCTAGTAGCAGTATTCACTAGATCAAAGAGTATACAAAATTTAATAGCTTTTTGAGTATAGTTCTAAACTGTTTTCCACAACAACTGGACCAGTTCACAGCTCTATCAACAGTGCATTTACATACCTGTTTTCCTACAGTTCCTCTAGCATTTGTCATTTTTTTTTGTCATCTTAGTCAATATGAAGGGTGTGAGGTGCTACCTGAGAGTTATTTTAATTTTCAATTCTCTACTTATTAGTGATTTAGGGCAATTTTTCATAAAGCTATTAATAACTTCAACTTCTTTTTCTAAAAACTACCTATTCCTATCCCTTGACCATGTATCAATTAAGGAGTAGTCTTTATTCTTACAAATTTGACTCAGCTTCCTTTATATTTTAGAAGTGAGGTCTTTATTAGAGAAATGATGATTTTTCCCCCCATTTACCTGTTTTCTTCTAATTTTAGCTGCACTGGTTTCGTTTGGGCAAAAACTTTTTAATTTTATGTAATAAAAATTGTCTTATGTTACCTCCCATGAAACTTTCTAACTCTGGTTTGGTCACAAACTCTTCCCATATTCATAGATCTGACAGACAATTTCTTCTATGCTCTTTCAGTTTTCTTTATGACACCACCCTTCAGGTCTAAACTATATACCCATTTGGCGCCTGTCTTAATACATGGTGTGAGATGTTGATCTAGACATAGTTTCTACCAGATTGTTTTCCCAGCAGCTTTTTTTACTGAAGAGTGAGTTCTTGCCACATAGCTTGGATCTTTCGCTTTATCAAACATAGATTAAACACACAAATGTGTTCATTTGTTTCCATATTGTAAACTTCATTTGTTTCATCAATCAACTTATGTCTTACCTAGTACCAAACTGTTTTGATGATTACAATTTTGCAAACAACTTTTGAGATTCAATACTTCTAGGACCCCTTCTTTCTCACTAATGAAATTTTTTTCATTAATTCCCTTGATATTCTTGACCTTTTATTTCTCCTGATTAATTTTGTTAACATTTTTCTAGTAATCTTTTAGTAGTTTGATTGGCATGGCACTCATTATGTAAATTAATTTAGGAAGTACTCCATTTTTATATTGGATCATCCTACCCATGAGTTATCAATATTTCTCCAGCTATTTAGATGTCTTTATTTGTGTAAAGAGTGTTCTATAATTGTGTTCATATAATTCTTGTGTATGTCTTTGTGAGTAGGTTCCCAAGTATTTTATATTTTCTGTAGTTACTTTAAATGACATTTCTCTATCTCTTCCTACTGGATTTTGTTGGCAATATGCAGAAATGCTGATAATCTGTATGAGTTTATTTTATATCTTGTAACTCTGCTGAAGTTGTTGACTGTTTCAACTAGTTGAACTAGTTGAACTAGTTTTGTTGACTCTAAAGGATTCTCTAAATAAATCATTACATTATCTGCAAAAAGTAATAACGTTTCTTTTATGCATGTGCTTGTTCTTTCAATTTAGATACATACTAATTATCATTTTGAGAAGAACTCTGTTCATTCCTATGCTCTACTAATGTTTTTAACAGGAATGGTTGTATCTTTTCTTTTTTTGTTGTTGTTGTTGTTGTTGTATCTTTCTTTTTTTTTCTCTTTTTCTCTCTCTCTCTTTTTATTATAGGGGAGGGGGCAATTGGGGTTAAATGACTTGCCCAGGGTCACACAGCTAGTAAGCATCAAGCATTTGGTCTGAGGCCGGATTTGAACTCAGGTCCTCCTGACTTCAGAGCCAGTGCTCTATCCACTGCACCAGCTAGCTGCCCTCTATTGTATCTTTTCAAAAGCCTTTTCTGCATCTTGATATAAGCACACGATTGTGTTATTAATATGGTCAATGTTGTTTATAGTTTTCCTACTATTAGATCAGCCCTACATTCATAATGTAAGTCCAATGCGGTCCAAGTGCATAATCTGTGTGATATGTTACTGTAATATCCTTGTTAATATTTTATTTAAAATGTTTGCTTCACCACTGATTGGGGAATTAGGGATACTGGTTGATAGTTTTATTTCTGTTTTAACTTTCCCTGGTTTAAGTATTATTACCATACTTATGTCATAGAAGGGATTTGATAGAATTTCTTCTTTTCCTACTTTAGAACAATTTATATGGTATTGGAATTAATTGTTCTTTAAATATTTGTTAGCATTTTATTGTAAACTCATCTGGTCATGGAAGTTTTTCTTTGGGATTTCACTTATGGCTTGTTTAATTTCTTTTTCTAAGACAGGCTATTTGAGTACTATACTTCCTGTTCTATTAATCTGGGCAATTTATATTTTTGCAAATATTCATCCATTTAATTTAGAATGGCAGTTTTATTGGCACACAGTTGGGAAAAATAGCTCCTAATAATTTCTTTTATTTCTTCTTCATTGTGAATTCACCTCTTCCTTTTCTTTTCTTTTTCAAATCAAGTTAGCTAATGGCTTATCCATTTTATAGATTTTGTTTTCCCAAAAAGCCAGCTCCTAGTTTTATTTATTAATTCAATGGTACTGGGGGGAATGTTTTGCTTTCAATTTTGTTAATCTCTCCTTTTATTTTTCAAGATTTCTATTTTGGTGTTTAATTGTGGATTTTTAATTTGTTGGTTTTCTAGTGTTTTTAGTTGCATGCCTAATTACTGATTTGCTTGTTTGCTCTTTTAATGATGAAATTTTGCTATGTTGTTTCGTTTCTGTCATTCTCTTTGATGAAGTTATTGTTTCGGTAATTTATTCTTTGACCCTTCTATTTGTTAGGACTAAGTTATTTATTTTGCTATTAACTTTTACTCTTTGCTTCAAATACCCTTTACTGAATGTAGTTATTATTCCATTGGTGTTGATTTTTAAAAATTCAAACTATTTTTGCTTTTCTGCATCTACAAATTTTTTTTTATGTTCTAATACATATTCTATTTCTGTGAAGTACCATATATTGTTAGGAAATAGATATATTCCTTTCTATTTCCATTCAAAATTCTCTAGGTCTCTCATATCTAACTCTAAAAATTCTAGTCAGCTCTGGGTTTTTTTCATCAGGAATGCTTGGAAGTCCTTTATTTCATTAAAGATCCATTTTTTCCCTTATAGGATAATGCTCAGTTTTACTTGTAAGCCAAGATCTTTGCCTCCTGGAATATAATGTTCCAAGCTCTCCGTTCCTTTAAAATGCTGACTGCTAAATGTTGTATGATACTGACTGTGGCTCCTCAATATTTGAATTCTTTTTTTCTGACTGCTTGAAGTATTTTTTCTTATACTGGGAAGCTCTAGATATTGACTGCAATGTTCCTAAGATTTTCATTTTGAGGGTTTCTTTCAGGAAGTTTAGTGTAGATTCTTTCCATTTCTACTTTGTCCTCTGGTTGTAAGAGATCTGGGCAGTTTTCTTTTATGATTTATGATTTATTGTGATTATGATTTATGTGATGACCATTTTTTTAAGTCATGGCTTTCAGATAGCAATCTAATGATCCTTAAATTATCTCTCCTCAATCTGCTTTCCAGGTCAGTTGTTCTTGCCGAGATTTTTTTCTATCCTTTCAGTGTTTTGTTGTTGTTCAATCATTTCAGTTATGTCCAACACTTTGTGACCCCATTTGGGGTTTTCTCGGCAAATATACTAAAATGGTTTGCCATTTCCTTCTCCAGCTCATTTCACAGATGAGAAATTGAGGCAAACAGGGTTAAGTGACTTGCCCAGGGTCACATAGCTAGGAAGTATTTGAGGCTAGATTTGAACTCAGGAAGATGACTCTTTCTGACTTCCGGCCTGGCATTCTATCCACTCTGCCACCTTCCTGCCCTTTTCAGTGTTAAGACCATTTTTTTTAAGTGTCTACTGATGTCTCATGGAATCATTGTGGTTTTTCTATCATTCAGTCTTATCCAACTCTTCATGACCCCACAGACCACAGAACATCAATACTGTCTATGGGGTTTTCTTGGCAAAGATACTGGAGTGGTTTGCCATTTCCTTCTCCGGTGGATTAAGGCAAACAAAGATTAAGTGACTTGCCTAGGATCACACAACTAGGAAGTGTCTCAGGCTAGATTTGAACTCAGGTCTTCCTGACTCCAGGCCCAGAGCCCTATCCACTGAGCTACCTAGTTGCCTCTCATGAACACATTAGCTTGCTTCTATTTTAAATTTCAGAAAATCATTTTGTAATTATTTGCATATGTGCTATATGTTCCTACTAAACTACAAGGTCAGGACTAATTTTATTTATCTTTTACTCCCTCCAAGTATCTAAAACAATACTATGTACTTAAATGTTTGGTGAATTCCTTGACACGCATCTAGGGATGCTGGAGTAATAACATAAACGGGTGAACTAACAAGTTTAACTAATCTGTTTAGAAATACTCTTTGTGCCTATACTAACTGATTTTAAATTGATTTTAATCCACCAAGAAAATCTTGGCAGGCTAATGTGCAACAAACAAAATACAGCTTAAGTGAATCAACAGACTGGACTGGGATTTGGTCAGCATGACTTTTCTATTAGGGTCTGATTACTTTTGGTGTGACTGACAGCTGAGTGCTTGGACCAAGAACTGAGTAACCAGAGCCTGTCACTACATAATTTACATGATCAAATGAGATGTTTATAAAGCGCTTAGCACAGTGCCTGGCACAAAGCAGGGGCGCTTGTTCTCTTCCCCTTCCCCATTATAGCCCACCTTATGTCTAGATGGGTGTGACTTGAAGAGCATAGGGAAAATAATCTCTCTCACCAAAAATAACTCATCACTGGCCTAACTTGATGCTTGAAATTTCTACAATTAGTCACTCTTCCTTTGTGTTAAAGCACTGAAAGCAGTTGTTATGTTGCAAATGTTATATGGAACAACATTAATCCATTATCAACTATTAATACTTTAGTTTGAAATAGTTTGTAAAATCCCCAGCAGTGAGCAAGGCCCTAAGAAAATAGGATTCAAGATTGGTAACTTTTTGTTTTGTTTTGTTTTGTTTTGTTTTTAAAGAGTCAAATGGAGAAAAAAGCTGAGACTATGGGTTACTGTTTTTGTTCAATAGTTTTTCAGTCATGTATGACTCTCTGTGACACCATTTGGGGTTTTCTTGGCAAAGATAATGGAGTGGTTTGCCATCTCCTTCTCCAGCTCATTTTACAGATGAGGAAACTGAGGCAAAGTGATGTGCCCAGGGTCATGCAACTAATAAATGTCTGAGGCTGGATTTAAACTCAAAAGATAAGTCTTCCTGATTTTAAGCCCAGAGCTCTATTCACTGCGCCACTTAGCCGCCTGCTTGGTCCCTAACAGGACACTACAGTGGGGCACTATATAGCTTAGTAGCAGGAGTGGGGAACCTTCAGCCTCAAGGCCCCATGTAGCCCTCTAGGACCTCAAGTGCAGCCCTTTGACTGAATCCAAACTTCATAGAACAAACTCCCTTAATAAAAAGATTTGTTCTGTAAAACTTGTACTTGGTCAAAATGTCATACCCAAGGACCTTCTCTAGAAAACCACATGGGGCCTTGAGGCCACAGGTTCCCCACCACTGCAGGAGGGGGCATCTTGAAGACAACCCCTCACAGCATGGCTCATAATAATGAAAGTACCAGAATGAAAACAGTGAGAAAGCTAAGAAAAATTCTGATCACTTTGAAATTCTTCTTGAAACAGGTCCTCCACTTCATCATCCAGCCAAGTCACTGTCATCCCTAACTAGGGAGGGCATTCTCCTGGATGGACCTTTGTGTCCCACTCCAACACATTTTTTTTTTTAAAGTTTTAGGCAGTTGGGGTCCAGTGACTTGCCCAGGGTCACACAGCTAGTAAGTGTCAAGTGTTTGGTCTGAGGCTGGATTTGAACTCAGGTCCTCCTGACTTTAGGGCTGGTGCTCTATCCACTGTGCCACCTAGCTGCCCCTCCAACACAAAGAAAGTATTGAACTATATAGGGAAGTGTCTGGGCAGCACCAAGTTAACAAGCATTTATTAAGCACCAAGTACATGCCAAGTACTGTGCAGTCATCTATGCAGACTAGATATAAACCTAGAGAATGAAAGTTTTTTTCCTCTTAGTAGCCCCAGGGAACCTGTTACACGGAAAGCACTGGACTAAAGAGGAATCATAATAACAACATTGTCAATTCACAAACATGTGGTGTTTTGTTAAGTTTAGAAAGCATTCTCTCAAAATAATCCTGTGAGGTAGGTAGTGTAAATATTATCATCACTCCCATTTTACAGATCAGAAACTGAGGCTAAAAAAGATTTAAATGCCTTGCCAATGTGCCTCATTACACTCAACAAATGAAAGTTAGACTTCAAACCAAGGGCTCCAGACTCTGGATTCATTTCTCCTTCTACTACACCATGCTCTAACTCTAAGTAATCTCACTGACTGTATACATTTAATTAAATTACACAGTCTTGTTTTTTTGAGGGTTCTTAGTGTTTTTCTCTAGGATAGTCACTAAGTAAATTCCTACTATCCTTAATATTATCAGTCAGTAAAATTACATGATGTGTTATCTTGATTTTATACACAAAGTGCGACATAACATCATGGGCAGCCAAGATTTATTTTCTGGCATAGGTTTAGGGTGAATATATGCAATAGTCCTGTGGCAATGTGTCTGGCTGAATGGCAAGCAGTGCTAAGCTCTCTCAAAAACCCCTATTTTGCTTCATTTGCAGACACAGTAATACTGTGATTTTAAGTAAATTGATAAGAAGCTCAATGAGACAAGACTGCAGGCCCTCAGTTTCTCAATAGAAAGCAAAAACGTGCCCTATCCTTAAGATGTACCTGGTTACTATTTCTGCTACTGCAAGCATCTCCTGCTTTTCTCCAGGACAATTAGGGTGCTCAAATACAATTTCCTCTCTTCAAAGTCTACTACAACAACTAGTATTTCTTCTTCTATTTGTTAATCATATTCCCTACTGTCCAGTCTTACTCAAACCTTACATATCCCTCTCACTTTCCTAAGCATCAACTCCTTCCACTCATGCCCCAGATGGCATGTCAGCGTTTGTATCCCTCCATGATTGTTCCTCATGGTGTTTCTGCTCAAAGTATGGATAATATAGATACACAGAGAAATATAACAGATTACTTACCAGACTGACTGCACTTTCTGATCCCAGCCCAACGAATAACGATGAAGCCAGACGCTGTTTTTCTGCCTCTTCCTCTGAATGATGAAGAGCCTGGGGCTGATCCTTCTTTAACATCATGTGATCCACATTCTCCACTAATGTACTGTCCTGAGCAACAGGTTGAAGCTCAGGGTTGTTTCCTGCTTTGTTTTCCTTTTTTGGAAGATAGCCTTCTTTTCCCCATAATTTTTTCACACCTTCCAGCTTCAGGCTATTTATCCTAAAGAAATTGGTAATGAGCCAAGTCAATTCAGAACCAAAGAATTACTTTCCTAAGATATTCTTCCAAAAGCAGCACTGTTCCTATAGCTTTCTTGAAGCAACTTATCACTAATATCACAAGACATAAGAGATGCCATACAGCCAGAATAAGACACAAGATTCTGGACATCATCCACTGTGTGTGTGCCCTCATTTTAACACATAAATATATTCCTGAAGGCTTCAAAAATGAGATAATTCACTACTGACATTCCAGAGATATTTCATTATACAATGGCTTCAATCTCAATTTCTTTGTCATGTCATTAATGATCTCTAATCCAACACTTAAAGAAACAATGCAGGGCAGATAAAAGAGATGACCTTGGAGTCAAAAATACATGGATTTGGTCCTGCCTCTGACACATACCTGTGTGACCATGGGCAAGTCACTCAAATTTAGTGTCCCAGAGAACTCTCTAAGGCTATACATTATAGACAAGTTACTGATTGATATTCACTAATGAAGAAAGTTTCCACACCAGGAATACCCTACCAACGAAAGCATAAGGCCACATATTACTAAAGGAATCATTTTGAGAAACAAAGAATCTTTTCTAAATGTGCAGCTTGTTCTTAGGTTTAGTTTTAGTTCAGAGGGTTTTCTGAATGTGAAGTAAATAATACACTGTCAACTAATATATGTGCATTTTGAATAAATGAAAGGCCTGAGCATCATTTTCTAAAATAAATATAACTTTAAAATAATTTTTTTAAAAAATAAGCTCTTAAGAAAAAGAAAGAGGTACTCAGGAAGGAAGAACAGCAGTAGTTTTTTAGGATCTCTTTCCCAGATCAAAACAGAGATAAAACAACAGCAAGAATGTTGCTATGCTCTTACTGCTTCCTATTCCCCAGGCTAGCAGAAGTAACCAATTTCTAACTCTGCACATTCATGTCACCGATGGAAGAGCTAAATTCAGGAACTGGCCTTACTTAGCACCTCCAGGATAAAAATAATAGAATGAGTGAATGTGGACACTAAGATTTGTGGCTGGCATCATAAAGATACTGTCTTGGTAAAGGTGCATTGCTTTTGGCTGTAAGGATTATCACAATGCCTGTTACATAGTGAGTGCTTAGTAAATGCTTACTGATAGCTTGATTACAATGTTTCTAATCCCAGCCGCTACCTCTTCCTCATTTGCAGATTTAAAAAAGTAAGGAAGGCTTACAGAATTGGAAGCCTTTGACCACACATGCTCCACATAATACCAGACTGTGCACATGGATTTGAATAGGCTAGAAGCAGGGAACCTCAGTGTCAGGAACTAGCCCAAGGGCCTATGAAGTGGCATATAAAATGTATAAGGAAGCCAAGCCAAAATTCAGCTAGATTTAACTACTTAATCCAAAAGATGCACTATGTTACCTCTTCTCTTTAAACAATGGAAGTGGGAAAGGTTACTATTATAGCACTGTTGCAATCAACTATGTCCACAAGTGTTATCATGGTATGCTCAGAAAATACTGCCCCTCCCTAAGCACCTTTTGATAAGCCTTTACATCTCAACATAGAGCAACTCAGTGCATGAAAAGCATTCTTCTAGTCACACTGCAGAATCCAGGAATGTAAGGACAAGACATCACTTGCTAATAGGCACACTTTTAAAAGAAAAAAATGAACATAAAAGGAAGAACTAGATAACTTTTTTTTTAAGACTTGGGGCTACTTGTGTCACCCACGCAAGATCCAATGGATCCAACCCCAAGGCGGACCAGCACAGAAGCTTTGACCTGCTCCACTGCTAATCTCAGCCAGTTTGCCTCTCCTTACACAGGCTGGTGGCTCCTCACTCCTAGAAGCTTGCCATATCAGTCTCAGACTTAGTGAGGACACTCAATTGGCTTTATTTCTATTCTAGCTCAGAACTCCTGAGCTCACTATACAGGGATCACAGCATGCACAATCATATCTCGCAAGATACATTCAGCCTGTAAGTCTCTAGGGCAGGGACCATATAACTTGACTTCCTATACCATGCCTAACATGAAAGCCTTAAGCAATTACGCTTTATGCTAAGTAAGGCACTAATAAAAAGAAGTTCCAAATGGCTTTTAAAAATCTGACTTATCAACCTATCATTTTATTCAAAAGGAATAAGGTAAAAACTGTTGGGCTTACTTATCATTGTTTCACTTTTGTACTATTTCTGATGAGTGAATTTTATGTTGATTCTTGGCTGCATTCATTTTTAATTATAGGTCTCTGGAATATTAACTGGTTCCATTTAGCATGATATCACCCACAGCCTACTATTGCTGACATTCAAAAAAGTTCAAACAGAAATACAGTTAATAAAGCTTTTTTTTCCTTTTTAAGACAACTGAGGAAACAATTAAGAAGCAGCTTAATAGCTATTTTAAAAAGCTTTTTTACCTATATATTTCACTAACAGACATATTATCAGTATCATCTATATCCCTCATCGATCTCGTAGAAATCTCAGGAAGGAGACATACATGCTGAACTACTGGGAAGTAGGGTAGCATAAGACAGCATTAAACCTCTCAGAAGACTAGGATTGGAATTCTAGCTCTTCCACTAACTCCATGTATGCCCTTCCTCTCAGTACAGAGATAAGAAACTACAGGTACAGAACATTTCAAATACTGTTGCTTTGTTGATCAATTTTGTTTAACTCTTTTGCTTTACGAGGGAGAACTCACTGTATGTGGGACAGAGTTAATTTTGGAAATGACTGTGATGTAAAAAAAAAACCCATAAAAAGTATCAGTAAAAATTTAAAAGGAAAAGGAAACTGAGAAGTAAGAAAATAAGAAGCTTCCTTGTGACTACATAATTATCCTGTATGCCCCACTCTCTAAAGACAGCGCATGAACATTCTCAAACAACTTTTCTTAAGCTACCATTCCCTTAAGTCACAAATATGCACGAGTAGGCTTTATAAGAAGATTTCAAAATCTTCAGCTCCAAGTCCAACTTGAATCTTCCCACATCCACTCTGTGGAGCTGTTAATTTCTGTTTACTAATGGTGGGTGGCCATTTCTTTCCTCTCTCTCCCCTCTGCTTCTTAGTACTTAAGCCCTCTTGCCAACTATCATTTGCATTCTCTACTCATTCCTTCAGGGGTAGGGAACCTGTGGCCTTCTAGGTCCTTAGGTGTGGCCTTCTGACTGAGTCCAAGTTTTATAGAACAAAAGTGTTCATTGGACGGCTAACAGGGTCTAAAACACACAGAAAAGTTTAAGAACCTCTGCCCTGGAAAGTTATACTCTTATTTTTGTAATCAAGTCATTACTTAAAACACTCACAACACTTGTAGAACAAATTTACAAACTACACAATAATTTTCATTTCTTGACAATTATACTTTGTTTTTAAACTAAAACAGTACTTCCCAGTAATCAACCTCCTTATTCATCAGGCTGAGGTCTGAATGATATTAGGTTATTTCCAAAAATCAAATTCAAACACTTCCCACCACCCAGACCCACACACATACACACCTGCAAGAGAGATACAAAATAATATAGTAGTAAGAATACTCTGAACATCAGAAAACTTGGATTAGCTGTGTGACCCTAAGCAAGCCACAATCTTTATCTCATTTTGCTCATCCTTAAATTGGGGATAATGCTACCTGTACTGATTACAACACAAGTTACTGTAAGGAAAGCACTTTGTAAGCCTTAAAATACTACAAAAATGTGAACTATCAGTATTACTATTCAAAAAAGAATAAGCCAAAGGCCCAAGGCAATTATGAAGATACTTTGAAAACATTTAAACACTAACATCACTTGAATAAGTATAGCTATTTTGAAGGGCCATGATTCTCATTTGATGCAAGTTATTTATTTTTTTAAAAGTTGTATTACTGATTTCATCTTATACATTTAGTGTACTTCACTGAAACAGGACATTAAATATTTTAAAAAATTAACTTTCTAATAATTTCTATCCCAAGGACATTATTAAGCTATTAAAAGGAAATGTGCTACATCAGATGTTACTATCCCTTTGGAAATTATTTGAAGACCAGAGAAATTATGAGAATCCTAGAATTCATTCTAAACCCATTAAAATAAGCCAAGAACATAAACAAATGAAAAACAAATGGCCCACTGGAAGACAGACATTTAAACATTTACACGTTCTCACCTAGCATCTAATTTCAACAAGAAAGGAACTTACTCCTTCTGTCCTGTTTCAGCACTATTCCCAGATACATCAGAACTAAGAGAGATGCCAGCTGGAGACTGCCGTCCAGTGCAACCAGATGAGGACATAGTTGAAGAAAAAGACAGTCCATATGGTTCGAAATTGAGAACTGGAATTTTAAAAAAGACAACAGGGGATCAAATTTAAAACAAAACACACAAAAAAGGGCAAAATTACCTTTAATTGCTTAGAGAATTAAATTCTTTGCACAGGCCGATTCCTTCTATAGAAGGAGTATTTCAGAACTGGATAGGTTATAGCAGTGCTTCTTAAACTTTTTGGTCTTAAGACCCCTTTATACTCTTAAAAATTATTGAGGATTCCTCCAAAGAGCTTTTACTTCTGAGAGTAATAGCTATCAATATTTACCATGTTAGAAATAAAAATTAGTATTCTTAATCTAAGTATTACTATGAAAAGAGTTTTAATCTCACATACTGACTAAAAGAGTCTTGGGGATTCCAAGGGTCTCTGGACCACATTCTGAGAACTACTGGGTGACAGGATACATGACACATGGTACAAACAGCTATTTCCCCCCCACTCTTTTAGAATATCACTTGCATCCAGAGGGAATCACACACAAGATCTTTGAAAGTTACACACTGAATTTATTAGATACTTTAAAAGAAAAAACAAGTTCTACATAACAAAGATTCAGTTTCATGTACGATCCTCCCCTGTCCTACAATGTAAATGGAAATGCTAATATTATTTCGTGTTTAAGTTCAGAATAAAAAAATTAAATGAAACTTTATTTTTTAACCATCACTTATACACTGCAAATGGTCAACATCTGTTCCTTCTCCATGTGAATGATCAAGTCTCCAGTACAGACTTAATCATCTCCAAACTAGTAACAGAAATCTCATGTGCACAAATACTGACGTCGTTCTTTTTCCCTTTACTGTGTTCTTTCATGACTGAAAATATGCTATATTCTAAAGTGAATCCCAGTTCTTCTTCTTCGATTAAAAGGCCCTTCTCCAGGCTTCCATGAACTTAATATAATCTTCTTATCTCCCTTCTCTGTTGTTCCTTCTTAGGGTAACAGATTTGGAGCCAAACAGGGCCTTAAAGATCAAAACTCATCCTCCCATGTTTTCCAAACCTGGCATTCATTAATAACAAAAACAAACATTTGTTAGGCATCTGCTATATGTAGGACACAAACAGGTAGCTTTCCTTTTGTTTTAGTTAACTTTTATCTTCAATTAACAAGTATTTTTCTCTCCCTTTCACTTTTCCCTACCCCACTCTTGTACAAATACGCATAAGTTAAGCAAAGCCAAGTCCAAGGAGCAGCTAGGTGGCACAATGGATACAGCATTGGCCTGAAGTCAGGAAGACTTGAGTTCAAATCCGGCCTCAGACACCTGACTCTTACTAGCTGTGTGACCAACCCTAAGCAAGTCACTTAACCCCATTGCCTAGCCCCCCCCCCCCCAAAAAGTCTAACATCAAGTATATCCAGAAATGTATGTCTGCATATTAAGTTCATCACTTTTCTGTCAGGAGGTAATATTATTCATCAGGAAGACTCTGGAATTATGGATGGTCATTGCACTGATCAGAGATCTTCAGTCTTCCAACCTTGTTTGTGTTTACAACATTGTTAAAGGATAAACTGTTTTCTTGATTCTACTCATTTCACTCTACATTAGTTCATAACAAGTCTTTCCACGTTTCTCTGAAACCATTCATTTCATCATTCTTATGGGACAATAGTATTCCATTATATTCATAAACAAAAAGTTATTCATCCATTCCCCAAAGGATAGGACTCCCTACCAAAAGAGTTCCTAAAAAACAGATATACACACACACACACACACACACACACACACACACACACACACACACATATGTCCTTTTCTTCTTTCTTTGATTTATTTCAGGAAAGGCCTACTGGTTATACAGAGCAGCTAGGTGGTGCAATGGATAGAGTTCCAGGCCTAAAGTCAGGAAGATTCATTTTCCTGAGTCTAAATCTAGCCTCAGACACTTACTAGCTGTGTGACCTTGGGCAAGTCATTTAATCCTGTTTGCCTCAGTTTCTTCATCTATAAAATGAGCGGAGAAGGATGGTAAACCACTCCAGTATCTCTGTCAAGAAAACCCCAAATGGGGTCACAAAGAATAAGACAAGACTGAAAAATGACTGAACAACAACAGTTAACAGTGATATAGGTAGACCAAACGATATGCACAATTGAGTAACTTTTGGGATACAGTTCTAAGTTGCTTCCATATTAATTGATTCATAACTCCCCTAACAGCACATTAATGTGCCAAACAGGAACTTTTCTTGAGGACCTCTTCATCTGTATCTGCCTCTCCACTCACTATTCAATGACTGCCTTTTGTGCCCATCTCTCATCTTAACCCTTTCCCCCTCCACCACACTGCTAATTTTCTCTCTCTCAAGAGGCATGCTCAATTTGAGTCAACGGGAGCTAAAAAGGCTCCTACAATCCTAGACAAAGTGTCTAGGAGTAGAGGTAATATCCTAGTGTACACTTGTCCTTGTCAGTTCTGGGTGCCACATTTTAAGAAAAGCAATCATGAGATGAAGAGTGTACAAAAAAGGGCTCTTGGCCTGGGTCTATGAACTTGTTTTAACATTTTGATTTAATCCTACGTGTTTTATTTTATGCATTTTAAAAACATTCTGGAAAAAAGAAGGGGTTCATCTGCTTTACCAGACTGCCAAAGGGGTCTATGGTAGGAAAAAAACGGTTAAGGAACCTGTAGGCCAAAGAAAAACAATGAGGATAAATAACCGAATGAAAAAACATTTGAAACAATCCCTTTTCTCAAGAAATTAACATTCTAAGGGGTAGATAATATAGGATAGATTCTAATGGGGTAAATAACATACAGGAAATTTCAACTGCAGGTCATATGGAAAGATCTGATGGTCCTTAAGGTGCAGTGGCAAAGCAGACAGAAATGTACCTTTTATAATGATATTTCCATTGATAAAATCACATTTGTTTATGATTTTTAACCATCTCACAGTGCCAAAGACTTTGGTATCAAGAATTTTATTTTCTTATTCTTTAGTAGTTATGGTTGCTGAGGAGGCAAAGACTTCAGATACTACAGAAGCAACCAACAGACTGCATCTCCACAGAGGTTTCTTCCCAGGAGGATGGCTGCAGGAACTAGGCTGCAAGCAGGATAAGTGGTCTAGGGATCCCTGGTGTCCTCAGGGCTCTTGAGTTTACTTGCTCATTGGTGGTAGCTGGTAAGTAATTGTTGGAAGTGGCAAAGAAGATAGGCCCCTTTTCCAAAGTGATTGCTTCCCTCAATGATAACTATGGAGGGATAGGCAGGAAGTAGAGCAAGTATTTTAGGAGGCACTGCTCTTCCCAGGGCTCCTGTGTTCAGGGCCCTTGGCTGTTTACGTTGAGGTCTAAAAGGAGATGGTGGTCAATGTGCTATCAGTGGTCATATGGCCTCAAGATTATGTTTTATGATAATTAGTTGAAGGAATTGAAGATGTTATGACTGAAGAGGGTATGACCTGGGAAGCAGGAAAGCCATCTTCAAAGAACTGAAAGGCTGTCACTTGAAAGAGGTATTAGACTTGTTTAGCTCGGCCCCAGAGGGCAGAACTGGATGCAATACATTGATGCTACAAAAAGGCAAATTTAGCTTAGATGTAAGGAAAAACTTCTGAATGATTAAGACCCTCCAAAAATGAAACGGGATGTCTCAGGAGGTAGTGAACTACCTCCTCCTTCAGTAAAGTTCTTCCAGCAAAGGCTGGGTAACCACTTGTCAGGTATATTGTGGAAGGAATTTCTGTTCAGGTGTGGGTTGGAGTGATTGGAGCCTATAAAGTTCCACCCAATTCTGAGATTCTGCATTTACAAGTTACTTTATAATCTGTTCAGCATTTGAGAGCAGTAAAATTTTACTTTTAAAAAGACATTCTATTAACAAAGAATTCTTCCTTTTAGAATAAGCTCTCTGAAGGCACACTAAGTGAAGGCATCACTCTGATAACAGTCATCCTTTGAAAAACAGAAAGCTATGAGATGGAAGGTTCTAAAAGTGACCAAATGCTCAGCCTGAATACCTTAAAGTTGCAGCTTCATGGGGTCCTCTTTACACTTCAATCCCTTATTCTCAGTTTCCAAAATCATACCATAAATGTTATACAAGAAATTCAGGGGGCAGCCAGGTGGCACAGTAGATAGAGCACTGGCCCTGGAGTCAGGAGGCCGAGTTTAAATCTAGCCTCAGACAATTACTAGCTAGCTGTATGACCCTGGGCAAGTCACTTAACCCCCATTGCCTCAAAAAAAAAAAAAATCCAGGTTAGTGGGAGTGAACAAATCCCATCACACATACACACTCCTAAACTTAAATGGATTTCTTTAATTAACAAGATAAGCAGAAGTAAAGATATAATAAAATAGAACTGTCAAATACCTGCAGTAAACCTAAAATACAGGTAAACATCCATTGTAGCACACCACACTGAAGTCACTAAGAAAACAGATACAGAGAATGGTCAAATTGGGTCTCTTTTCAAAATTATGCATTTACATAAAAATGTTCAATAAGATTTGAGGGGATAACCTTATTTCTGTTCAGCAAATCACTGAGATAAATATTTACAGGAGTGGGATTGTATGTCTCCTACCTACAAAAGTGACTTCAACCTGCAAATCTCCCTTATTGCCCAAGAACAAAATTCAGATAATTATTATTTCTGGTCCCTCTGAGTCCTGAGACTGTCAAACCAACTGAACTGAATCAAAGACCCTGAAAAGCCATTTTAGCCATGTTATCATCCTTTTGGACTATATAGTTCATGCCTAGATTCAAGACAAAGGTCCTTTTCATATCCAGAGTACCACATAAAAGTGGCCTCTCAATGACTTGAATGAAAGCACACTTGGCAAGATGATTGCTTAATTCGTGTGGTAAGAGGGTGTGGCTTTTAGAAAGAATTCTAGAAAAGCCTAAGAATATCTTTATTGGATATTACTACTGGAAAGATCCTGAAGTACGATGGGCCTATAATTTCCTAACAAATTGGGTAACATGAAACGTAATAAGAAAAGTCATTTGAACTTAAGATGATCCAAAAATAAATTCTTAAATTATACTTTTGATTTTAGGGTGGCTTTTACAAAAATGAGATATGGTGTTATCTGAGAAAATGGAAGAACAAGAGGTCACAAGGAAGCTGGCCTCTTCACAGTGTCTGGTAAGAACAGCTGGCCTCTTCACAGTGTCTGATAAGAGCAGAAGTAGGAGGAGCAAAAACAATAAAAACTGCTAAAATTTTTACAAGAAAACTAAAAAGAAACAATGCCAAATAAGCAATGAACAAATCAAAGTTGAAGTAATAATCAATTCAATAGTTAAAAACATTTACTTACTAAATGTGTTCTTTGTGCCAGGCATCGTGCTGTGTTGGGAATAATTAAATATTATGATATTTAAAGTTTAGTAGAAACGAGGGAAAATGCATACCAAAATAGTACATCTGAAGTTGCAACAAAACCAACACACACACCCCAAAAAACAATGGGTAAGTTCAACTGAAGAATAGAGACACTCAAAAGGAATGCAGTTAAGAATCATTAAGGGAATTAAATGCAACTAAGATATTTCAAAACAACATTAATAAAAAACTTTTTAAAATGGAAAACAGCATGGAATGAAACCAAAAGTATAAGAGTACAGAATTCAGAGGTAGAGGGAAACATCTCCCTTCATTTTCTAGCAGATGAAACTGAGACCCAAAGAGCCACAGAATCTCAAGATTGAAAAGGATCTCTGCAATCATATAACCTTAAAGGGCCTATCTCTGGCAATATTTCTGTTGTCACTTGTCAAAGTGGTCATCCAGCATATATCTGAAGGCCTGTAGTAATGGAAAATCTACTACTTCCTGAGGGAAGCTCATTCTACTTTTGGAAAGCTCTCGTTAGGGAAGTGTTCCACACCTTGAGCCAAAATCTGCCTCTGCAAATTCTACAGGTGGCTAAGTTAACTCTACCCTCTGAGTCCAAGCAAAATAAGTCTCATCCTTCTATTACACAACAGCCCTTCAAATATATAAAGATAGCAATCACATGTCTTTTCTAAGTCTATTCTTCTGCAGGACAAGAATTCCTAATTCCTTCAACTAGATCTTCAAATAACAAGATCCCCAGTGCCCTTACAACTCTAGTCATCCACTTCTGGATATTCTCCAGCTTGTCAAAGTCCTTTCTGAGACATGATGTGTCCAACATATCCCAAGGAGGTCAAAGACAGAATGGCGGTCTACATATCTGTCAAAATATTTAGAACAGTACTTTTTGAGGTAGCAAAAAACTGAAAACAAAGTAAGTATCTATTGATTAGCAGACAGCAGAACAAAAGGTGATACAAGAATGCACTGGAATATTACTGCAAAATAAGAAATGGAGAAAATGAAGAATTCAGAGTGGGGGGACAGGACCCATGAGTAATCCCTGCCCTTAAAGGGGGAGAGGAGGGAGAAAAGGAAGAGGAAGGGAAGATGGAGAAAGAGAAAGCAAGAGAATAGTGAGGGAGCAAGGTAGAGGGAGAGGAAAGTAGAGGGGGTAGAGGGAGAAGGAGATACCCAGAACTGAAGAGAATAGTCTGGGTTGAATGTGGCAGAAAAGAGTGGGAATATAACCTCCTTCACTCTTCCTGTCTTAATGAAGCATAAAATCACATTAGCTTTTCTGACTGCCATGGCACACTGCTGGACATAGTAACAGGGCTTGCTGTCCACTGAAACCTCCAGATCTTGTTCCTTGAAATTGTCTTAATAATGAAGAAGCTAATTTTTTTTAACCCCAAGTGTAGGGCTTTATTTATTAGATCTGGTCAGATCTTCTTACCAACAGAAATCATTTTAGATCTCAACTCTCCTATCCAGCACATTAGTTATTCCTCCCAGTTTTGTGACATCTGCAATTTTGATAAGCATGCATCTGTGCTTTCATCAAAATCACCGAGAAAATGCTGAACAGCGTAGGATGCAGGATTTCTAACTGTAACCACAGAGATACTCTAATTATCAACATCAAGTAAAACATAAATAAGGTAGACATATTTGAAGACTCACCACCTTCACAGCGATAACTTACAAAGTTCAAGCTGAAGAGAGATTTCCTACAAGATAGTGACGTTCTCCATGTCCTTCTTTTTGCAAATGATATCATGCTGACTGCATCAAGCCTCAAGATACTTCAGAATTAAGATTCAAGAGCACTCAAGAGACCAGCCTAACATCCATACAGGTAAAACAAAATGGATGAAAAATTTCTATTAACATACAGATGGATGGGCAGCTCAATGAGTCAGGCCACCAGCACGCGTCTTGAACAGGCATTGCAGATGTGCAATGAGAATTAAAAAAGAGAATGAGAATGAGCTAGAGTGCATTTGGTGAAATACACATCACTTTCAACAATTTCAAGTAGTTCCCTGACACAAAAATCCATCTTTTTAACATAATATTCTTTTGGTGATACTATATGGGCATGCACTTTGGAATCACCAAAGAATTAAAATTGCAAGTGACTAAAGAAATACATGGTGGGCATAAATAGGCTGTAGTATACAAAGAAAAATAATTTGTGCCTAAAAAATAAAGTAAAAGATAACATCCAGGAAATAGAAGGTCACAAAAACCCACATGGTGGGTTGTTCATTTACCAAAAGCAAGTGATAACAGATGAATGGCCAAAGGGACACACTAGTACCTATGGAAAGTAAAAAAAAAAATTTGTAGAGATGACAGCCTCTAATGCATTGGGTAGATCCTATATAAAGGACTTAGAAGGCATGAATGGATTGTGATCTGCACTCTTGAAGGGAGTATCTGATATCAATGTGATCATGAATCCAATGAAGTATTAAGTGTTTAACATCTCTAAGGCATGGTGCTAAGGTCTGGGGATACGATGATGAAAAATAATACAATCTATAACCTCAAAGATCTCTTTACCTCAAAGGAAGGATAAGCCACGTATATAAATAAGTGCGATACAAAGTGGAACATGTAAGAACAATAGAAAGGTCTAGACCAGGGATGGGGATCCCCTTAAAAGGATATGTTCTGTAAAACTTGGACTCAGTCAAAATGTCGCACCCAAGGACCTAGAAGGTCACATCTGTGGCTGCAGGTACCCACCCATGGTCTAGACAAAGTGCTATGAGAAACTTGCAGAGCTAAAATCACTTTCAGCTAGGGGGATCAGGGAAGGCTTCATAGCACCTAAATTGATCCATAAAAAAAGAAAAGGATTTCAATAAGAAGAAAAGTAGACTGAGTATAATCTAGGTATTTGGGGAAGGGGGAAGGGAGGGAGAGCTCCGGGAACGCAGAGGCAGGAGAATGCAGACCAAAAGCAAATAACAGCTTATAGTTCAGTTTAGCTAGAGCACCAAGTACAGGAAGGAGACAAAAGTAAAAAGACGCTACAGAAGTAAGTTGGCACCAGATTGTGGAGGGTCTTAAATGACAGATTGAGAAGTTTGAATTTAATTCTATAGGGAATTAGAAACCATTAAAAGGTTTTCAGCAGAGAACTGTCATGATCACATATGACAGCTAGAGGCAGTTAGGTGGCACAGAGGATAAAGCACTAGATCTGAAGTCAAGAAGACCTGAGTCCAAATCCCACTTCAGACACTTTTTAGCTGTGTGTCTCTGGGCAAGTCACTTAATCACCGTCTGCCTCAGTTTCCTCAACTGTAAAATAAGGATAATAACAGCACCTAACTCACAGGGTTGTTGTGAAGATCAAATTAGATAATATTTATAAATTTCTTAGCAAAGTGCCTGGCATATAGTAAGCAATATATAATGTTTATTCCCTTCCTCCTTTCCCTTCCCATTCCTGCAGACCTCTGCATTAGTAAGATTATTTTGGCAGCTACATGAAGGAAGGGGAAAGACTGGAGAGAAGAAAACCAGTTAAGTGCCTATCACAATAGTGCCAGTCAAGAGTTGATAAGGGACCAAACTAGGTAACAACAGAAGTAAATAGGAGGAGACTGGTGCAAGAAATACTGGGGAGATGAGAACAGAGCTTAAGTAATGTTATCTGGGGAGTGAGAAAGAGGAAAAAGTCAAAAATGATTCCACGGTTTCAAGCCTAGGTGAATACAAGGTTTGTGGTTCCATCAACAAAAATAGGAAAGGTAGAAGAAGGGACAGTTTTGGAAAGGAATTAATCAGTTCAATGACGGACGTATTGAGTTTGAGGTGCTACCAGGACATCCAGGTGGGACTGCCCAACAAACATTTAGAAATGTTTCATACTGGGGTTGAGGAGAGAAATTGAACCATAAATTTGGGAGTCATCTGTACAGAAGTGATAAAGCAATGGGAATAAATGAGATTTCCAAAAAATGTAAAGAGAAAGACTATATAGAAAAGAGAAAAATCCTAATGCATGGAGCTTTGGGGGGATACTCACACTTGAAAAGAAAGAGAAAGGAAAAGACCT